CATATACAATACAACATGAAAAAGACGATGGACATAAAAGCAATACCAATCCAAACAGATAACTGAAATCATTTATAAGATCAGCGTTCCATTTAAATATGATCACGTTGTTGTCACATGAGCGATGTTGTATATATATATATATATATATATATAAATATATTTATATAGTACATGTTGACATTATTATCTTTTGAAATTTGTCATATAAGAACTGTAATAATAAACTAATTTAGTTAATTCAGAAAGGAGCATTTTTCAAGAAAGAAGATAAAATCATACACTTAAAAACACTGTTTTTTTTTATACCAGTTCATGTTCCTTTATGAATTTTGATATTATCTTTTGAAATTTGTCATATAAGAACTGTAATACTAAACTAATTTAGTTAATTAAAATGACTAACTAGACTAGAGCAGATAGCTCCCTCACCCTTTGTAGTTTTGGATAGTTTAACTGTTATTAGCAACAATTTTCAAGATTTATACACACTTGCTTGATCAATAATATTGATTGCATAGGTCCTACTTTGACTGCATTAGTATTGAATTTTTGGTCACAGCATGGCAGACCATTTAGTAGTCAGGTGTAACCTGTAGCAATAGCTACAGAAATAGTAGACTTATTCTTTATAATTTCCTTGGCAATTGAGCCAGTCCCCTTGTCTAATACTAAAAAGTAATTATTCAAAAAAGGGAATGACTTGAAAAATGCAGTTAAAATAAATAATCAGTGGGAGTACAAAATTTTATTAGGACATCCTTGTGTCTTTTCTATAAATATTTGCATGGTAATTGTTGTGATGATCTTTCTGCTATGGTCTAGACTTTATGAATAAGCGCAGTACTAGATTGCTGCCAAAGTCTCATCAATTTACAATTAAAATGGCTAAGATATAACTGTAAGTTCTATGCTAACAGTTTCTTCTATCATACTTCTCGCTTGTGGACTCACTTCCGCCTTCTTGCTTCCTAGTCAACTTTGATCTTCACAAATTTAAATGCAAAGTTAATTGTTATCTTCTGCCTTTTTTAATCTTATTCTTTTATTGTCCTCTCTCTTTAATAATAGTTTTTCTCTTATTCTCTAACACTCAGTAACCTCCTGCATCCTAGTGGCTTTGTTGCCTTGCTTGGGGTGATATGGCTGAAAAAGAAAAAAGAAGGGGAAAAAGTTACTCATCAATGGTGAACTGAAAAATATAACAAAAGTACAAAGTAGCAATTCCAAGAAAGAGGCTGTCCAAATGAAACTTCATTCTTACCAATAGAATATAAAGGGAATGAGGATGATCCAAAACTGTGTACATAGCTTGGCGGGTCCTATTTGTGAAGGTCTGAATTGGTCTGAACATCTACCATGAAAATAGTGATAGATTAGTGAGAGGCTAGCAATATTTGGTTTGTGGTAAAGTGGTTGTGCTTGGAGATAATTTATGTTAAAACATAGAGCAAGTATAACAGGAATTCAAAAATACCAATCTCTAAATACTTATTTGTTTTCTGCAAAAATATGTATACAGTATATTAAATTCAGAAGTGTAGCTCAAGAGTACAAAAAGATTATATTGGCCTCTCATAAAATTTATAATAACCAACTCTTGGTCTCTATCACTCTCTCTCTCTCTCAATCATAGAATTTATAATAACCCATTCTTGGTCTATCTTGCTCTCTCTCATAATATAATATAATAGCCCACTCTCTCTCTTATAATATAATATAATATAATAGCCTACTTTTGGTCTCTCTCTCTCATAGAATTTATAATATCCCACTCTTGGTCTCTCTCTCTCACAATCATAGAATTTATAATAGCCCACTTTTGGTTTCTCTCTCTCACTCATAGATTTTTTAATAGCCTACTTTTGGTCTCTCTCTCTCTCTCTCTTATATTTTATAATAGCTCACTCTTAGTGTCTCTCTCTCTTTCTCATAGAATTTATAATAACCCATTCTTGATCTTCAGATGGTAAGTGATCCACACTCCTCCCCGGTCTTTTGAACAGGAGTAGAGGTTTAGCTATAGTTTTGTGTTGCTTCTAAAAGGCCAACTTCAACTCTATACTTCTGGTGTCTCCTCCTGGCATATCCAATTAGGGCACATTTTGGGTTTTTCCTCTTACTGATGACCATACTTTCTGTTTTCTTGCAGTTGATGGTTAGTCTTTTTTATGCTTTCTTTTAATATCCTCTTTCAGAGGTCCTGTATTTTTCTTTCTATGACAGCCAATACAGTGTCATCTAAATGTCTTATATTGTTAAGATCATATGCACTGATAATAAATCCTGGTAGTGGCGATTTTATAAACGTAGCTTAGATGTGTCACAAGGTCGAATGTACAGGGTATGCAGTGAGTATTGAACTCACTTTTGTTGCAATTGATCTAATAAGAGAAGCTTGCTATGTTGAAGTACCCAAATTCTGGTAGTGTCACTGTAGAGGTTGAACAGATTGTGAGAGAAGACACATCCTTGTTTTACACTCCTTTGTATTTTTGTCTAGCTACTCAATTCATTTCCTATTTGTACACTGGTGATTTGCTACTATTGTAAGTTCTGAATTATTCTAACATCCTTTTTTTGAATTTAGTTTTCCTAACAATATGCAGAGACATGTTTGTCGGTTTCAAATGAACTGATAGCAGAAAAACGTATTGAGAGATTTTCAGCTTGTTAGAGACTGGGAAGTATGCATTTATTTTGCCTTTTTCAGGTGGGTAAAAAAATATCTCATCAAGAACATGAGAGAAAATCATTCTTTCAAGATGAATGAGAAACACAGCATGAATTAATTTTTATGATGTTTTTTTCTTAATTTTTTACTAAAAAGGATATTTTTTGTTCTAATATAGATAGTGATTTTTTTCATGAAGTCTTACTATCTTTGATTCTAATCAACAAAATTTTTCTCTTTCTCATATATATATATATATATATATATATGAGGTCAGTCTGAAAAGTAACAGAACTAATGTCATAAACAACTTATTTGAATTTCAAATAATAAACTACATGGTTTCTCCTTAAAATAATTCCCCTTGAGTCTCATGCACTGCTAGAAGAATTCTTCTTGGATGCCCCTGAGCTCTGCCATGACAGTCTTCTTGATGGCCTCCACACCTTCAAAACAGGTCCCTTTGATGATCCACTTGAGCTTGGAAAAAAGAAAAAAGTCACATGGAGCAAGATCAGGTGAATAAGGAGGTTGTTCCAGTATGGCAATGTTCTTCTCAGCCAGGAACTGCCAGATGCTCAGGGCGTTGAGTATTGTTGTGGTGAAGCAGACATGATTAGTCCTGCCACAACTCTCACATGTGAAGAAAAACGCAAAGGTTGCAAAGAGCTAAGATTACAGTTATATACTCCCAATCTGCTTATCCCTCTTTTGTCCATAGCTCAGAGAGCACACCCAATGCGATTACTTTTCAAACAAACCTTCTTTTTTTGATATCAATAAACACTCGTTTGACACTTTTGTAATGTCAATGAATACTCGTTGTCACTTTTGTAATGCTCGTTGTAGTAGAGACTTTGTAATTGCAGATACAACTATAATACTCCATTGAACAATACTGATGTCAAACGCCTTTGAATGACACTCGCACTAATAGTACTTGCTTGATAATACTCGCTCAAACAGTAATCTGTATAGTGATCCAAATAGAGGAATAGTATAGTGAATAGAGTAGAGAATAGTGGTCCGTATAGTAATAGAGGATAGAGTAGAAAAAGTGATCCATATAGTAATAGAGGATAGGCTAGAAATGGAGATCAATTAGACACATGCTACCTTCCATATATGTGTTTCCTCTATGGTCATGTGGTCTACTTAATTTAATAATGGAACCACCTGTGTTTGCTCACTGGCAATCTATGTTCAAACTCAAGTGTTGGCAGTGACACTTTATTCCTATATAACACTTTGTATATATCAATCTCTGCTATTTTTATATTATTATCAAATGCGGAGTAAAGATGGCAGTTTGCTCTGAGGTTGAGTAATTCCGTTTGCTGTTTCATGAGTTGGTAATCTGAATAATTAATAAAGTTGTCAGTAGAATTAGGGAGATATATTTTGCTTTTATATAAATTATTCAATTTTTTATTAATTATTATTTTATGTTTGATTTAGTTTTCAGAAGTAGTAGAATATTTCAGTTAGTCATCAGTTTTATTTCTTTCCACTTAGAAATATTTGATTTTATCTTTGTTTAGAGGTTAGCATGGTGATGGATGGAAAAATGGTTCTCTATGATGATTAAAGGATAGCAGTTATATGATATCATTTTCTTTCTAGTGAAATGTGTGATCCATTTTAATGGTTGTTGTTGGAAATCTTTAAGTGATGTGGTTTTTGTTATCTGGTAAAGATCTTTGTGATTCTGTAGTTGCCAGCCTATAAGATCTGATGAAGGATTATCAAGTTAAGAGGATTCATTTGCTTGAAGCCATTTTTTATCATTGATCAGAGTAAACACTTGTATACAAATAATAATTTAGACATTCTAAATGAGCTGGCCACCATGCATAATATCCATATAAGAGTCCAGATTTGATGAGACTACAGGGTGCAATAGGTAAATTGTTGCCATTTTGTATTTTTAATTTTGTGCATGTGCATTGTTTGTTTTCGATTTTGTTGCCTGCTCAGTATGGTAGAGTCAGTTGGGCCCCATCTTTTGAAAAAAAGAACACCATGGCACAATTTACTCTCCCAATAATTTGGAAATGGCATGCTGTGCAACTTCAAATTCACACCAGAAGCTTCAGTACAAACATTTCAGAGTGTTTGGGTGTCAATCTGAGGACAGTGCAGAGGATTTGGAAAAAGTTGGATGAGTCTAATGGTGATTACGAAAATGTTTGGAGTGATCACTAGTGATAGTGATATTATGCCTCCATTCATCTTCCCACAGGGCCTCAACCGGAGGCCTATATCATGGTAACCATTCAGAATTACCAGGTACTGTCAGCTTGGATGTGCAAGTTGTACAAAGGCTTACAACCATATCATGTTCGAAACCAGAACTTGTATGATCACCAATGTTAAGCAACATTGAGCCAGGTCAGTACCTAGATGGGTGACCACATGGGAATACCAGGTAGTGTAAGCTTGGATGTGCAAGTGGTATACAGGCATATCATGTTGAAACCCATTCTTGTATGAACACCAGTGTTAAGCAACATTGAACCTAGTCAGTATCTAGATGAGTGACCACTTTGGGAATATAAGCTTGAATATGCAAGAGGTATAAAAACCTTACAGCCATATCATGTTGAAGTGAGTTCTCATATGATCACCAAAGTTAAGCAACATTGAGCCTGATCACTACCTAGATAGGTAACTGTTTGGGAAACCAGGTGCTGTAAGCTTGGATGTGTGGGTAATATAATGGATAATGGCTGTAAATTGGAAAAGTCAAAGAGCTGCATTCAAATTCAAGTGAATATAATAAACCTGACTGGAATTTGATCTCTACTCTTTGATTTCCAGTTGCAATCATTATATTCACTTATGCACAAATACCCTTGGGAAAGTTATGATTCCAACTCTTCTCCCCCCAGTTATGGGTTAATTAGTAGGATTTGTATCAATTAATCTTTATTATCTTCCCCCAAATTCTTACAATTTCATTGATTAAACTCATAAAGGTTTATGCTTGAAAGATAAGGTTATCAATATATATTAAAAAATTCTTGAGAAATGTACTTTTTCATGCCTTTTAGAAGTTGGAGTACATTTATTTATTTATTTTATTTTTAAATTTTTAGAAAATTTCCCCTTTCTCAAGCTTACTAAGATCCGTTTATTAATTTTGCACATTTTGACCATTCAAATGTTTTTTCCAATACCCACTTTTATTAAGATATTTTTCACCTAAGTTTCGTGTTCTGTTGTGTTATTCAACTTGATTTTATTTATAGCTGAAACTGTACAAGGAAGTCATGTCATTTGTATATTAAATAAAGCAAAAAATACTTTAATAGTCCGAGGTGGCTATCATATTTCTTTTTATTACATATTGAGAAAATCCCCACTTGATTGTTAAAGAACATACCCTTTTATTAGTCACTTAAAAGTACAAAATTGTTTTATAGCAACCCCCCTCCATCCATATACTGCTTTGCCAAGGGAATATTACAAGTTAGTTTCTTTCAAATATGAGCATTCAAGCACTTCTCAGACTTGAATACGTTAACAAAAAAAAAAGATCAATATTGAAATGAAGGCTAGTTGACTAATGTAGTACCCCTTCCCATTCCTGAAGATGATGATGATCCTGCAGGAAATTGCCAGGAATCAGCTTTTTTTTTTTTAATATAGTCTGCTTGTAGAATTCCTTCCATGATGATTCATGTTACCATTGTCTTAAGAGATGCTTCTAGAGTGTCATTGCATATTATTAGACATGCCAAAATATATTTAGAGATATCTTCCCCTAAGTTGTTTTCATGTTTTGTTGTGTTACCGGACATGGTTTTTTGAGCTAAAACTTTACAATGAAGTTATGGCATTTGGATATTAAATAAAGCAAAAAATACTTTAATAGTCTGAGGTCATTATCATAGGTTTTTTTTTAATCATTTTCCAAGCCTTCTTTCCTCATTATATGCCCTTGAAATTTTCAACTCTTTTTCTGACTGGCAATGATATGCCTGTTGTTTTTGTCAAGTCAATCTTTCCTCTTCCTCTCTCTTCTTTTTTTTTCCTTGCCTTACCATATACACCAAATGAGACCTCCCCAGTCCTCATTTACCTGTCTTGATAGAGTTCAAAAGCATCTACACAGCATTGTAGGTGATGAATTATTTTCCACCCTACAACCTCTTTCCCCACAGATGAAACTTTGCAAGCCTCTGTTGCTATTTCCATGCAAGTTTTCTGACAATCTACATTTCTTAGTCCCATCCACTCTGACCTTTACAACTGAGACCTGCCATGCCACATACATATGGTTGAATCATCTCTATTCCCACTGTATTACATTAGTAATTTCCACTCTTGCAGTTCCTTTCCAAGAACTGAAGCTTTGTAGAACAAACTCCTGACAGTATGTTTTCCCAATAACTACAATCTTGACTTCTTCAAGTTTAGGGTGAACCATTATCTTTCTTGCAAAACAACATGAACTTCACTTCTTGCCTTTTCTTATGCATCACATAGTAACCCTCTAGTTTGAGTGGCACTTGAGCCTTGTATCAGTTTAACATCAGTATAAAAAAGTACACTCATATAAATCAGTAGTGAAATACATGTGAAAACTTCAGTTATGGCTATTTGAATTTTCAGCATTTGATAAAGTACATCACAAATAACCAGTGGAACTACTAGGGAAATTTGACATATTTGGGAAGAATATTAGAATAATAGAATGAAAGAATAATAGAATAAAAGAGTATTAATATAATAGAATGAAAGAGTATTAGAATAATAGAATAAAAGAGTATTAATATAATAGAATGAAAATATATTAGAATAATAGAATAAAAGAATATTAGAATAATAGAATGAAAGAATATTAGAAATATAGTATAAAAGAATATTAGAATAATATATTGAAAGAGTATTAGAATAATAGACTAAAAGAATATTAGAATAATCCAGAACTTATACTGGAAGCAAACTACCAGAATATGGATAGAAAATGAATTCAGTTAATATACAAGAATAGAAAGGCGTGTAAGACAAGGATGTATCTTCTTACCATATATTTAACCTTTACAGGAAGTTGATTCTGAGAGAATTAGAATTCTTTTCAGGATTCTTTATTGGCAGTCACAATCTTAACATTAGATATGTAAATGATACAGTGTTGATATTAGTCATAGAAAAGTGTTATATTCCATGCTAATAGGAAAACATGGTGGATAAAATAAGTAAAGGTTTATTGTAAAATCCAGTACAATAAGTATAACAGTAACAGTTATGCACAAGGTCAATCCAGTAGTGAGTGCTACTATTGGAAGGTCGGTAGTTCTTGCATAAGTCTGAGTCATACTCAACAGATCCCAGCTAGACTCTGTAGGCTTTTGACTTACAGATAGGTATACTTATATTGCCAAATTATTATCGAGATAACTTTTTTCTAATATTTCAAAAACCGTCCAATCAATTCACGCAAAATTTTCACCAATGTTGGCAACACTGACCTGCGCCATCAGTAAAACTAGCGCCATATTTGTTATCAGCACGATGATTTGAACGTGCCAAATTATTAGAAAGGTTTTGTAAAATTCACAGAATTGAGCAAACAAACATTTATTAATGTTGCACGTGAATGTTTATGATTAAAAGAAGCCAATAAATAAGATTATCAAACAAATAATAACAGATACAAACAAAGGCACAAATTAATAGGTAATGTGCTTTCCCTGTTTTGAAATTACTTGAAGAAGATGATGATCCATAGAATTTGTTAATTGTAGGATGTCATCTGCTGTAATGCCGCGAGATATGTCAAGAATTGCTTCCCACAACTCAGCGTTGCTCCTGAATTGTCGTCCATTGGCGTACAGTCTTTGCTTCATGATGCTCCAAAGGTTTTCGATTGGGTTCAAATCCAGAGAATTTGATGGCCACTTCATTTTTCGAGGTCCATTGAAGCCTAACTGTTTCAAATATTCAGTAGTCTTGTGAGCAGCATGTGAGGGAGCATTATCTTGCATAAAAACAATGGCCCTTCTGAAGGCAACTCTTTGCCTTTTCACCTACGGTTCAAGATGCTCCTTCATAAATGCTATGTATGCATCAGCAGTCATTTTGACGCCATCTGGTACTCTCCATGGGCCCACTAATGTTTTTCCAATAATACCACCCCAGATCATTATGCCTCCACCGCCTTGTTGGCGTCTCAAACGCTGATGGCGATTCTGTCCATTCATTACCCAGCCTTTGCACCATCTATCTGGCCCATCAAGTGTTGCTCGAGTTTCGTCTATGAACACAATTTTAGAGAAGTCAATCTTCATATTGTCCTCGGCCCATTTCAATCGATTTTAAATGTGATTTCTCGTCAACGGAGACTTCGATACAGGTTTGACTGTTGTTGCTATTTCCCTCAGATACCAACACCGAGTACTTTTAGACACAGTAGGATCCCCAATGCGAGTGAAAAGCTCTTGACTGGTAAGTCCAGGGTTCTTCGTGGCCTCTCATTTAAGTCATGACATGAGACGACGTGAAATAACCCTCGGCTTGCCTTTATCTGCCCTTTTGCATACTTGTGTAGGGTCGGCAGTGAACTTTTTCATTGTTTGATGACACCCCCTTATCATTTTAAAAATTTCTAGGGTAGATTTACCTTTTGAGAGTTCTGGGGTGATAGTTTTCTTTTCAGCATCACTTAAACTGCTTTTACAGCCCATCTTTTGACTAACTTTTCTAATAATTTGGCATGCTCAAATCACTGTACTGATAACAAATATGGCACCAGTTTGTTTACATTGCACAGATCAGTACGAAAATTTCAGTGATTTGCGCAGGTCAGTGTTGCCAACATTGTGTGAAAATTTTGTGTGAATTGATTGGACGGTTTTTGAAATATTAGAAAAAAGTTATCTCGATAATAATTTGGCACGCAGTGTAATTGACCTTACTACCCATAATGCACCATTGACCAGCATAGATAAATAATCAAGCCAAAACACCACATGGCCTGAATCTTGTGTTCAAGCATGAAACAGACTGACACTTGTGGTTTATCAACAGTACCCACTTTTATATTTATATATGTTCTATCTCTATTGAGCACTTTTACTCATAAATATAGCATACCTTAAAACTATAATATATATATCCAAACAAGTTATATTAAATAACACTGACAAGTTCTATTCAAGACTATTTTATATTGTTCAAATTTCAGACTGAGGTGTTTTACATCAGGAATAAAATTCTTCAACTCTCCAAAGTTCTTTATCTTTTGTAACATTTCAGTACTTTTTACTGTAACAGTCATTGTTGTAACAGGAGAGATCTATGGTAGAAAGATTTATTTTCCCATTTGTATTTCCCTCATTATGAGTATTATTATATTCACAATATAATAACACTGATATTTCATGTACAGAAGGGAAAAGAAGGACAAACATACTTTGTTCTCAGAGAGAG